AAAAGGGAAATGGAGGCGTCGGGGGGTGAGGGAAAGGCGGGGGGATGGGGGGGGGGGAAGGGGATGTAGCAGCGCAGGTAAAAGTGCAGAGGTGACTGGGGTGTCAGATGTCCGAGTTTTGCCTGCCTGCAGCCAGAGGTAAAGGGCCCCAAAACCCAGACTCCCTCCTGCAGTTTTCACCCCCCTGTGCCTTAACACACACACACAGTGTCATCTATGTCATGAGTTTTGCTTGTCAGCAGTTTGTAGTGCAGTTTCCCAGAAACCCTACACCTATCTCCTTGAAACTTGGCAGGCTTTGTGGCCTCTGCAAGACCTACCATCCCTGCAATGTTCACTCCACTGTGGCTTAACACATACATATGACATGAGTTTTGCTTTCAGGATTTGAGGTGCAGTTTTCCAGAAACCCCTGCACCTACCACCTTGAAACCTGGTGGACTTTATGGCTACCACCCCTGCAAGTTTCATCTTAATCAAACAATAAACAACAAAGTTATAGATATTTCATTGATTCCCCATTATACCCTATGGCCAAATCTCCAAATTACCAAATCTTTTCCGAATCGATTTGGCCGAATTGAATCAGAAAAGCTATTCTGATCTCCAAATCAAATCGGATGAATCCAAATTGGACAAATCCGAATCGAATAGTTGCCTTTTTGCACAGGCCTAAAAATCATCCATAAAGAGGAACAATACTCAATGGCCTTCATTCTCCTCAAGTTTGACATAAAAAAAACTGTTTGCTTACCAAAAGTAGGTTAACTGAAATGGGAGTTTGAGACCATTGAGTATGTATGTAAATCCATGTTTTCCTTCCATGGCTCACCCCCCATTAAATCCTTCCATAATGGCATATTACCTCAAAACCTTAATTCACTTTATGCACAATTTTACTTTCTTTAAGATGATGGCACCCCACTCACCAGTTAAATGTCTTCATGTTCACATTTTTATCATGTCTTATTTTTTAAAGGATATTTTCCCTTTTCCATTCAAAGACCTAAGCCAAAGCATGTCCTGATGCTTCATTTTCAGAGAATACATAGGGTTGGCATATCACACACTGGTGTGACTCGATTCACTGAATTTCTCATTATTGTCTCTCTTATGAAGCTGTCTTTCTTAGGCAAAATATATAATCTGATCAGGGTTCTCATACTCTTCTACATATTTAATACATATTCACAGAAAGTCACTACAGTGAGTTATGGGTGTTCCCTTTTGGAAAATCTTTAAAAAGTTGGAACTGCTGGAGATAAAACTGATTTCTGCTTTCAAGGTGTTAGAAACAATGCAGCTGTATTTAGCATTATCAATATTTAGCTTATCACAAAACCTCCAATATACTGTAAATTGGCTGTGTATTTCTCCTGATTGGGTATATACAATAGGATGTTATTTACCTTTCTTAAAAGTATGAGTAAGGACTTAATTAGCTAGGCAGGGCATTTTATGTATGTGGGCTTTCTACCAAAACTATTTTGCCATATATATTTTCTTTTAATTAAGACAAATGTGAAAAGAAATATTACTGGAGTGATATTACTGCTTGAATGTATAGTTAAATAGTTTTCTGTCCCTATTTTAATATTGGTAAATTTGAAGGTTATTGTGTGGGCAGGGTAGAATACAGAATCAGTTTAGCAGAAGAGGGTAAATTCTTTCTATGCACTCTCCTTCCCCTGCCCTCCTTTCTCTCTCTCTCTCTCTCGCACAAAAAAAGGAAAAAAAAAAATCTATACACAGACACAAAACCAACATTTCCCAAAAGCCAAGGAGTTGAATTCTAGACTTAGTAAAATCAATTCCTTAACCAGTTTGTGATTTATAAAAGTGCTCAAGTTCCATATTCATCACTGGCCAATCACCAGAGCAATAACTCATCATTTTACTGCTTGTGCCACTTGAAACTACCTGGTTAAAAATTAAGTTACTGGACTGGAAAATAAGCATTTAAAATAGGACCTGGGTTATTTCCATCACCAGGTTCTTCTTTCCTTGTGCATGAAGATCATTGCTTTTAAATCAATATAAATCCTGTAGGAAGCTATATGACAGAATGTTTTCAGGAAGTACTAGATCAGCTCTACTTACCATTTTCAGTTCAGTTTTTACAAAGACTTACCACACCATCTAAAATTGGGAATCTCCTCACCCTCAGGTTTTTTTTCTTTAGTTGATGCTTCATTATTTCACTCGTTAAATTAGATGACATGGGGGAAGCAGAGTGGGAGGGACCCTCCCATGCTTTCTCTCTCTTTCAGAGGATTGTAAATTCTGAGCAAAATATGATAAATTAACAGTTCCTTTCCATTTGTCACTTTCCTTCCCATTCCAAAGCACAATTGGCAATAGATGGGATAAGATGGGCTAATGGTGGTCATGGAAATCAACTCTCTCTCCAAGATCCTGGTCACTTTAAAAAAAATCAATATTAAAATAAATAAAGATATAGAAGGTTAGGAAAGCTGAAAAATTAATATATGCAATGCTGCTGTAAGAGTGTTTGGCAAAAAATTGCAAGAAAAAGGCAGACTGGTTTGAAAAGCACCCTAAAATCCTTCTACCACTGGTTGAGAACAAAAGCACAGTGCTAACCATCTACAAGAAATCTCCCCATTCCACGACCCTGAAAAATTTTAGCTAAAGACTCAAAGAGAAATGCAAAAGGAGGTTAGGAGGTGTGTCCAAGGTTTTTTGCTGAAACTCTGTGATAATATTTAGAAAACAGCTGATGCAGGTAATAGCTGCCGAATATACAAAGACATCAAATGAAAAAAACAGCTCCATAGAAAGACTGAAAGGAACTGTCATCACTGATGAACAAAAAAACCCCTCAAGCATTGGACTGAACACTATGGAATTCTATACTCCGGTGAGAAAGGAATTAAACATGAAGAGCTTGAATGATTACCACTGTTTGAAGTTATGATGGATTTGGAAAATGAGTCTACATTAGAAGAGTGGGAGAAAAACATTAAATTGATTCCTGGGAGCAAGGCATCTGGTAATGACTGCTTGCCTGCTGAAAACTACATGTGCCAGCAATAAATTACTGCAAAAGCTCCATGAAGTTATACTGTTCTGCCAGAAAGAGGAAGTGAAACCACAAGATTTCAAAGGTGCTCCTACTGGAGAAATAGCATACACTAACAAAAGTTTTTTTCTATCTCTGGAGCTGAACAACTTCCTCAAATGATATAAAACAAGTCATCAAAAGCCCTCCTTTTTTGGCACGGTTTTGCCCACAACTGTCCTATCTATATTGGTTAATGCATATGCTCTTTTCTCCACATGCTCACCTGACATTGCTAGACTGAAAAAAAACTTTGTAATGTAGATCTGGTCTCAAATTATGGAATAACTGCATCACCCAAGCATCACCCACAGCAATAGTCCTGCCAAAAGAAAAGTGTGGGTGGACCCTGAAAGACATTAACGTTCTGTATAGGTCAGCATCTAGGATCAAGCCCACGTGCTAGGTTTTGGCAGGGATTGATTTTTCCAACACTGACCTTGTAAGGGCCAAATGCAGGAAGCAGAAAAGTAAGAATGGAGACACTTAGGAGAATGACAGTGAGTTCTGCTAAGCTTAAGAATAAAGCTTACAACTATACAGACAAGATGTGCTATAAAATTATTAGTCGTGATTACTTTTATACCGTAACATCTTCCCAATAAAACAAACCTATAATCAATATGCAATTATTTATGCATCTTCCCAATAAAACAAACCTATAATCAATATGCAATTATTTCTTTTCGTTTGCAGGTTGCTTATGTTTTTGTTTGACTTCTGAGCCATTAGGTCCCATTTTATTTCAGTTTTTGATTTAATTGTGCAGCATGTCATCTAATTTGACTGGTGGTTTTACATAGAGTTTATTTAATTGTTCAGTCCTTGTCCCATCAATGTCAATTTGCTATCAACCTCAACCTCAAAGAGAGAGAGAGAAAAATGTTATTTCTACATATGTTTACATGTACCAGGACTGGAGTTTGATTTCCACTTTGCCACAGAAGACTGTGTTACCTTGAAGAAGTCACTTAGCTGTAAGTCACTTAGTCTCCTCTGTGCCTCAATTCCCCAAGGGATCTGTGAAGATAAATGCGAAGTGAAACGGTAATAAGAGGGACCTTAGAAGACTGGATTGTGGATCTTTAGGTTAATTGAAATTAAAAATACTGAGTCTCCTATCCATGCATTACACTTAGGCCCACCATCCTTTGTTTAGGGGACAGTAAAAGTTGTTCATGGTATAATTGCGAATGGAATCAAATACTGAAGGACAGTTTAAATCGAGGTTGTCAAACATACAGCCTGTGGGCCATATCCAGCCCATGGAGCCCTACGATCTATCCTTTGGGTCTTTGACCCCCTGCGCTGCATGCAGTGCTCAGTGCCAGGTTCAGCCCATGCAGACCAGCTCTGCATACAGCTGGTCTAAGTCCCACAGGCTGGATCACAGGGATTCATGGCCTAGAGCAGGGCTGGCACATGCTTCATGCAGCTTGTGGGGCTGCACTGGCTATACACACACTTGTAAATTTAATCTGGAGGTTCAACAGCCACAGGACTTTTTCTTCCCTTAGACATCAGGGAAAGGAAGATAAGGGCTTATCTGGAAGTGGTTTGGTGGTGCATTCAGCCTTTACCCAAAGATTTGAGAATGGACCATAAGCTACTAAAACACGGCTCAGCGTAGGTATACTTAAGATTCAGTGGTAGCACTCATCCTTTTTAAGGATAGAGATTCATAAGAAGATTAAGTCTCTGCAGGAGTGGTCATATCCTTCCATATGAGTGGACCAAAAATGTCCTTATTACAAAATAAACTCTCTCTTTCCATTTGAAAAATATGATGCTTTGCTTTCTCTCCCGCCTACCTCCCCCTTGCTCTGCCACAGGGAAAGGACAAGAAATAACGTAAACGTCCCACCTGTGATTAGAAGACATGGGAAGAAACTATTTCTTATTGCCTGGCAACTAAACAGCAACAGTTTTTCTGCTGTCCCTTGGGGAAACAGCCATGAACAGCAGTCTGTCACAACTGTCACTTCCAACCACTATAGAACTTTTAGATCCCATCACTCCAGACTGGGTTTTTTGGGGGGTGGGTTTTTTTCAGATGGAGGGGAAGAGGGGGGTTAAGCCCAAGGGGATGACTTGGGCTTCAGCACCTCTGAGCAGCCTGATGATAGGGTGTCTTTTGAAAATGTGTTGTATGGGCTAAGGAAAGGCACAGATGGGTCATGGGAGGTTAGGGTCTGTTGACTTGTGTTAAAGGGGCTATTTGGAAGGTTAGAAGTTTGTTAGTTAGGAAGGGGCTTTGTTTCTCAATGGTAGAGTGTCTGCAATTAGGGCTGCATGAGCTGAAATTATATATAGCAAGGAGGGAAAAAGGGGGGAAGGGTAGGGGAAAGGAAATGGGGAGCTGTGGAAAGGGACTGATTGGTGCCCGTTGTTCTGGCCAAAGTTAGGCATCGGATAAGCTTTGGGGATATCCAATAAGGAGAATTTATAAGGGGTGGGACTTGTACTTGGGATTTGGGAGAGTAAGTAAGCAGGTGATATGGAAAAAAACTGTTGCTTTGTAGTATATATAATAGCCCCATGGTACAGATGGCTTTTTTTTGGATCGATTGTCTTTGTTTTGGTTTTTGCGGATTTGTATGAAACAAAACATTTGTATATATGATAACTATGTAAATTAGGTGTTAGAAATGTGTGTTTCTCTACAGCTGAATGTTTTGCATATTTGGTATTGTGTTATCCTTTTCTTTCTTTGCAGTGTAACAAATATGTGAGTTCTTTTGAGTGGAATATTAAGAGTCATTTGAGTTTGCTTGTATGATAATTGTAGTGGTGGTTTATGTTAGTATGAGATTTTGTTATGTTTTCTGTATTTTTGATATATTTCTAATTTTAAAAAACCCCAAAAAACCCTCTGAGCAGCCTAAGCAGTGACCTAATGTCTACACTGTATGGCAGCTGCCACTGGGGACTCTGTCTGTCTTTACAATTTAGTATTCAAGTCACTATCCAAAGCCTTTACTAGAGTCTCAGGTCAGATTCAGGATCAGAAATGTGTTGCTGTAACAGACCGAGACATGGTGCAAGAAGTCTTCTACTCTTCCGTATAATGCATATTTTTCAAGGCCTAAAGTTTCTAAATCAGTTTAATCAAATCCATCGAATATTACCAGTATAAAAACAAAATAGACTATTTATTTTAGAGAGGATCAGGCATCACGGAGAATACAAAGTACTGAACAGGCCAGGACCTATGCCAGTGTAGCAGCAGAAATACAAAATAGGGAACCAATCACCATTCAAAGGTATTTCACTTAAGTTTAAAAAACATGCCCATCCACCCACTATTCAGTATTTGAATATCAGGAAGCATGAAATCCTTTCACAAACACATCCTGTAGCAAGTATTTCTGGGCCGACAAACTCCTAGTGAAGACAAAGTGTTCTGTCATTGACTTCAGGGTGAGTAGGATTAATACCCAAACAATACCTCTTCTGCATGAAAGCAGCCTGGCAAATTCATTCCATGGCCATTTGAGCAAGATTGTTTTACAGGCCTGATTCAGACACATGTTTTCTGCTTACTAGGCATTTGTTGTAAGGAGAAAAAGAAGTAGAAAATACTAGAGCTAAAAAGACATGAACAGAAGCAAGGAGGAGAAGAAAAAAAACCAAACATGTACACAAAGGCACCCAGGGTGAGTTTTTAAAAGTTCAATATTGGAATAATTCTGTAAACACTACTGTCAGTTTTGCCATTGACTTCAATAGGAACACACTTCGGCCAACACTTAGCACGTCTGGAAATCCCACCCTAAAAATATATATGTATGCATGAATTTAACAAAAGGTACCAACTGTAACATATGGGTTTAAGAAAAAAACTGCTGTCTTCCTCTCCAACAGATCTTCTAAAACTAGGAAAACACCAATTTTTTTTTAAATTAAAACTATATTAATTTGATGACCAGGGGGTGTGTGAAACAAATTCGCTAATTTACTTCATAAGGGAAGATCCTAGGGCAGTTGGGAGATCAGTTGATCAAGAAGAGGCAGTGTTTTGGAGTCCCAGAAAGAGTTTGGTACCTGAAGCTAGATCATCTATTCCAGAACTATCTTTAACTGAATGCCATGTGAAAGAAAGTGTAAAGCAATCTGCTTTTAAAGGGAGTTATATAGGAGCAACTGCAGTACTATAGCAGAAAAAAATACAGAGGAGCCTCCCATGAGGTCTGCTACAGAACTTAACCTTAGCTTATGAGTCCCTAAAGACATCCATCACCTCTAGCAAAGAAGTTAGTGAAAAATAGATATCCCTTCTATTTGGCCTGATAAACTCTCCCCCTTCTTCTGGATGCAGCGACCATTATGAAGAATTATCCCCAAATGTAACCAATCATTTAAACTCCAGAACCTAGGTTTATCTATGATCTTCTCTCCAAAACATCCTCATTTAAGCCATTTGTAGGAATACTTACTAGGACCTAAGAGGTGCTAGAACATGAAGACAATTCAGGAACTAAGTGATTCAGGGACTCAGCCATGGTGCACTGGGCATCCTATAGAGAGTGTACCAGAAAGAGAGTTCTGGTATAACACCCACTGCAGAAGTCCTATGAGGTAGAAGTGTATTTAGTATGTCCCCCGCACCCCCAATACTAAAATGTGGGGGGGAGTTAAAGTATATTTTAACCATAAGTGTTCTTCATCCTTTTAAGGCCAGATTTTTAAAGGTATTTAGGCCTAACTTCTACTGCTCAAACACTCTTTAAAAACCTAGGATTGAGCGACTTTAAGGAATATCAAAATAGACAAAGTGTTAATCCAGAACTAATAGACAGAAATACTACCAGGCAACAAATTAGAAATTTAAACTCACTTTCACTGGATCTGTGATAGTAGGGTGACTATTTCTAAATAGATTATGGTTATAATCTATTTGGAAATGGGACGTTAGTACATTTCCAGGTTAATAGTATTTGCCCTGCTGAAAAAGAGTTCTTACAAAACTGTGGCTTCTTGCTCTCTAATGTTGAGGTCCTCTCTTGGCCCCATTGCTTCTGGGTTGATACAAACTTTAATTGCATTTTGGAAAGCTATTACATTTGAATAATGCTGTAGCAAACTCGGTATGAGGAGGTACTTCAAAAGGTTAGTCCTGACAACTGGCACGGATCAACTTTATGAATTTAGTTAGGGCAGGAAAATAACACAACAGGACACATAAATTAGGGACAGAAATTACACATAGACCGGTATAAGTGATTGGAAACCAGTTCAAACCTGTAACACAACAGAAGTTCAGTGTAGATAAACCACTTTCAAAATGGCCAAAACCAATTTAAGATAAACCTGGATAGATATAGTATCAGACATAACTGATTTAGGTTAAATCAGTTTATTGAACTTATGTCTCAGACCCCCCATCCCCAGATTCAAATGAACTTAGTCCCCCAGCATCCCAAGATGCTTTGTACCTCCCCTGCAAACCCCACCTCAGACAGAGGTGAGCTAATCTCAGGCCAAGCTGTCTGCTCCAACCAATCAGAGAGACAAACTCTAGATCCCCTTCCCATCTTCTGGCCTGGATCACTGAAGGTATGTGGCTGTATTTTTGGAATCAAAAGTGAATATCTGTTCACTTGCTTATTGGTTCAATATATGCACCTTAGACTAATCTGCAAAGATTGAATTGATTCAGCCTCGAGTTTGACTGTCTATACTTATCCATACAGATACAACACAGTGCATGTTCTTCTGGTTCCATATTTATCTTAAGACATGTGCATTTAAACTCACATGTGGTCTATGCTGCCCATTTTAAGTGTGTTGGAGAAATACTTCTGGAATACTCCTTCCCTGGCAAAGCACCTACAATATCCAAATGAACTGCAGCAAAAGATTCTGGAAACCATACAGGGATTACAACAGAATTCCATCTTTTAACAGTTCACTGTACCTAAGAACATGATGCTCATCAGCAGGAGATTAGGGTTTGGGAACAGACATAATGAGCACATCTACACAAGATGCCTGACTTGAGATTAGCACAAATTACTGTCATGGTTCATGCCTGGTGATGCTGCATAGTTGTAGCAGCAAGTTATGGTGCCATAGCTCATTGTTACAGTGAGATGCACCCATTGTGATTAATTATGCTATCTATAAATACAAGTAGCAAATTTACTTGTGATTAGCTACTGCACAGTATGGCATGTGTAGACAGCTGACCAGGAGCAAACTTTCTCCTGGTCAGTTGGACAGCAGGGGGCAGGAGACTGCTCCCTGCCCCCTGGATCGGCCTATTGCCAGGACAGGGTCTGCTACTGGAGCCCAGGTGGGGAAAATGTCCATCTGCCCAGGCAGCAGACAGCTCCCAGCCACCATTCCCCAATCATGATCACAAAGCGAGGGCTCGGAGCTTGTCCCAGCCCCCACTCCACAATCACAGAGATGGGAATAGGCTGAGAGCTTGTTCCCAGCATGCACTCTGCAATTGTGGAGCTGGGTCTGGGAATTCCAGGCTGTGCAGGGAAGCCTGCACATGCAGCCTGGAGGTGGCTGGGGACTGTCCCATTGTGGGCAGTCCCCAGGCAGCTCTGGGCTCCATGTGCAGACTTCCCCATGCAGCCCTGGACTGGCCAGGAACTGTCCCAGTCAGTGGCAGGTCCCAGCCCCAACCTCAATCAGGTGAGCAAGGCAAGGGGCTTGGAAAGAGCTAGAGGTGAGGGGCAGGTCCCAGCTGGTCCCTACCCACAGGACCAGCAGGTCCCTACCCGCCTAGTTGGGGCTCAATGCTAGCTGCCCCACCAGTGAATTGGGGCAGGGGGCTCAGACCTGCTCTTCTCCCACAGCTTTTTCCAACCACCTGCCCTCAGTTGGGGAGCCAAGACTGAGAGCTCCCTGGGGCAGGGGGACATTGTCCCGACCCTGGCAGCAGGCAGCTCCTGGGGGCAGGGAGCAATCTCTTAGCCCCTTCCAGGAGACAGCTGTCTCCTGGCCCTATGCTCCCTGCCAG